CTTTAATATTAACATATTTTCCATTTGTAAATGAAATACCATTTTCTACTTGAAGTGCCAAATCATATGCTACCATTCGTTTATTGTTGGAACCCTCAAACAGACTGCAACACACGGCCTTGAGTGCCGCAACATCAATCGATGCCGATTTTTGAGAGTTTAATTTACGACCTCGCTATATCGTGGCCCCAACTGTACGTATTACATACAGGGTATCCCAGTATACGTAAACGTTGTCAGTATATTCCATGGGTTGAAAATAGAAAAAAATGTTATACAAACATAGGTCTTTTGAAGGTTTATTAAAAAGTTATGCCAATAGTACAAAATTAAGAGAACAATAGCAGTCGATGTTTGGTGTAGCATTCTTGGAAATTGAATAATTGGACCCTACGTCATTGACGGACATACGACAGGCCAAAAATATTCAACGTTTTTAACAGAAAAATCGTCCATTCTGCTGCAGTAAGTATCGTTACTTAACATGCAGTGGAATTGTACCAACATGATGGCTGCCTTGCACATTTTGCACGGCAATCCAGAGAAGTACCCACTACAAACGCTGTTTCGTAACCGGTGGATTGGTCGTAAAAGACAATTTTTATGGCCATTATGATTTCCGGACTTGACGCTGCAAGATTATTTCCTGTGGCGTACAATAAACAACAAAGTTTATTGTGAACCACCAGCAACAATAGAAGACATGAAAAACCAAATTTTTGACACCTGTGCAACATTTATTACGGAGACAATTGAATCTACAGTATTATTATTAATTAACAAATTGCACAGGTGTATGAAAGTCAACAGGTATCACTTTCAGCACTTCTTGTAACTAAAATAAATAGTAGAACCACGAATAACGTTTTTACAAATATCTCACAAACTATTAGATTTAGGACAAACAAAGCTTAATTCTTTCTTATAGAAAATTCACTGCTCTTTCAAAATTTTCATACAATAAGGCACACATACCATATAAAAAATGCAAGGGTCGTCTTGTAGTCTCGTAAACAAATAGGTTATTTTAAAAAATCGTTTCAGCATTACATGTTCCCTTCGATACCGTGCAATATGTACATAAAACCCTTTTTTGTAGAACACATACTTTAGAAATTATTGAGGGTGAACAAGTTATGTGACTCATCTTATGTATGTACACCCAAGCGATATTTTTAAGAGTTTTTATAAAGGTATTTACGCCTTTCTAAATAAAACATATCGCATCCATAAAATACAAAATATTACGATTGATAAAGCGAATGATTTAAGGACCAGTAAAATGCTTTTATACAGAACGACAAAGCGCAAGTTGTGCACCTCTGGCTTTCACGAAGAAGTCTATTGAACGCGCGCGAACGTCTCACCGGTGATCCCCCATCCCTTTCCTTCTACTACTGGCATCATCTTGTACCCGATATCACAGTATGACAAAAAATATTTCCCCGACCGGAGAGTCTAAGCGACAGAATCTGTCTACTAGAAAATGAAGAGTAATAAAGTATTACTTTTCAAATTATGCTTCATCGTCTTTGAAAGCCTAGTCTGTGTCCATCAACTGGAAACAAGTAATCATGGGACATCGTTTCTCATTCTCGTTATAAAAGATGGAAAGTAACAACCTGATCAATTTTCTAAATCTTTACGAACGCAATCTTTTAATTTACCAAGGATCTAGTATTCAGCCGTTAGTGAAGAAATTTGATCAAGGATTAAGAACATAACTATATATATACATCTGATCGAAAGAATAGAAAGTATATCACTTTAACGTTTTCCGTACCAAACCAAAGCTGTGCTGAGAGGGAGAAAGAGAATCGACGGGGGTAAGCGGGTGATGGAACAAGGAGGACACGGGGGAATAAGCAAGCAGGAGTGGTGGAAGTGGCGTGGTGGGGGACATACAGAACACCGGGGGAAATAACGATAGCACCGTCAAACGAGCGGTAGCAACGCCAAGGGAGGACGTACGCGTTATCGACCGCTCGAGACGAAGACGGAGACGACGAACGAACATGTATATAGACGCAGACCGTAGGGACGAATGAAAAAGCGTCGTAGAAAATATACGAAGGGACGAGGTAATGCCTCCCTATGGAGGGTCGCGTGATAACGTACGATGTCGCGCGTTCGGCTACCTAGAGGAGAACCTTCTTGCCTTACTCCAGCATTCACCCTTTTTTGTTCAGCTGCAACGTACCGTCGGAAAAATTTGACATATCTCGATTTGGTTCGATCACGGGGACGCTGTAAATGTAGAAGAGCCGTCTTTCTTCGAAATGAAAGTTATATACTAGATTACAAGCACTCTTTGGAATGTAGGTAATAGTGCTATTTGGTTATTTAGATGACAATTCGTTAATGTCTATACGGAGAATGCTAAGTTAATAGAATGATTGTAATGATAAATATAACTAAGTATTGGATGAAATGAATTATTTGCCACTGAAAAATTTAAAATGAAGTAAATCGTTATCGCTTATACTGTTTTTCATTATTTACTTCGATATAATTTCTTGTTGCAATATGTCTAACTGTATTTCGATCTTTTTCCCCTAATAATGAAACAGCTTAATGTTACTGCGAATGTTAGTGCGATAAAAAGATCGGTAGTTCACGTTTAATAATATCAAAAATTGATTTACTAAATTGATCTTCTTTGAATGTAACAAATTTTGTAAAAGCTTGTTATTTACTTGCATACTAATTGTTACCATAATATACATACGTACATATATACAATAATACATTGATACCAGAATAAAATATTAGTTCATGCCATATACTCTATTATCGTTTATTACGTTTATTACACAAGCAGAATATTCGTAAAAGGAACTACAGCAGGCACTTGTTTCAAAAGTCGGGAAAAAATTTCTACAAAGTCTGTACATTCGAAGCTCATTTTTTGTGTTTCTGCCGGATTATGCTACTACACTTGGACAGTTTACTAAAGGAGATGCCGATTCTTATTATCCGCAATCTCTACTCGCCGTTGTTTCGCTGAAACAAAGAAATATATTTAAAAAAAATAAGAGAGAAAGTTACTAACTCTTCTCTTGATTCAGGTATGATATTGAAGGAGTCGACTGCTTCTTTGAGAAGAAACGGAAATCTAGTCTTGTCTGGGTTATGTATAACGGATTTCTATGAATTGGTGGTACAACCTAAAAAGGGAAATCTACATGAAAAAGTAAGTCGAATAATATAGAGTAACATTTTTTCATACGAAGCTCCACTTCCGAATGTGTAAATAGATGTTGAAGATTAATCGAGTACGCGTGTACTTATACTTCTGTGAACGTTTTTTTAAGGTAATTCCTGATTTCAAATATTCAAATGCAAGAATAATTTCTTTTAGCTGTTCTCTATCTGTATTCTCGTCGTAATACACAAGAGACTCTAGAGGTGGCTCCATAAGTAAAAATCCATCAGTGTCAAATTCGGAGATCGTGATGGTTAAACTGTTTTACCGATCCAGCAGATATATTGGTTCTTACTTTTATCTCACTGTTTATCTTTCACTATCTAATGTGATAAACCCAACAGCAATATAGGTAGTTTGCAGTGATATTTGTTAGGCGTAAATGAGATTGTGTATAAGTGGACGCGTACTCGACGAATCTTCAACATCTATTTATTCGAAAATGAAGTTTCGCATAAAAAGTAATATTACTTTACATTTAGAAAAAATATTACTGTACATTCTCGACTTATTTTCTCATGTAGATTCGCCTCTTTTCGGGTTGTCCAATTCGGAGACACTTTGTGTACTTTCCTTGTACATCTTTCCTCATTACTTCCTTGGAAAACTTTCAACTATGGTAGATTCTATCATGCTCTACTCCTTTCCCCTTTCTGTCTCCCTTTCCTTGTTGCCTCTTGTAGCGCTGTAATCATGGTGCTAGGGGGCAGAAGGGATAGCACTCATTGTCAGCAGACGTTACTCTCCTGTAGGCACTCGTTGCGTCCCTTTTCGTCGTACTTGAATTTTTTTTACTTGCTGCAAGTATAATGGAAAAAATAGAGGTGGGCAACGTATCGTTCGTTATGTTAGTTGCATATTCCTCTTAGGTTGTTTTAGTTTGATGGGTTTCAATTTTTCTCTTGTTCTGTATCTTTCTTTTTCTCTTGACAGTTAATACTCACGCGTTGCATAAGTTGATTTTAATATAATGATAAATAATATAATGATAAAATATATTAGTTTTCATTGGCGTAATTTTTTGTTATTGAATATCATCACAATATTTTTGTATATTTTTTCTTGCTTTAATTGGAGACAATTAAAGAAACGCGTTTTTAAATCACAGTCCGAATTGTTCCAAAATTAATGTTTTCAAAAGTTATTGCTTACTTGACAGAGAATACTCTTCCATATATTTCAAATCGATTATCCATCGTGAAATTGAACAGTTCTACGTACATCTGGATGTAACAAATGAATTTGTAAAATATTTAAAATTTATGAAAGTAAAATATAACATTGTTATAATATCAGTTTATGATTTTTGGGAGACTGTTTCATTCTATAAATTTCAAATCGTTTAAGCATGAAAACAGTACAAGACGTTAAGTTTTAGTTTTCCTCATGAGCAATAAAATTATTGGGGTAAGTGATCCTTTAATTGACTAATTAAACAACATAATTTGTCTTTACTTTATTTTCATTTAAGTACGTATGCCACATTTCATTAAAAGGAAACTTACTGGATATTTTATTTACCTTTTCATTAATTTTGTCACTTTGTGAAAATACATTTGGTTTTATTAAAGGAAAAATTGTTTCCCTAGACGAACAAATAATCGAACGGCTGTACAATCAATATGTTGCTCTGAATTCCAGTGTTTGATCAGAGGTTATTACAACTTGTTGAATGTAAATCCGTCAGGCTTAAAATGAAGAACGGTTGTTCTTGTGAATGTTTATAAAAGAGTCTTAAGGATCTAACAATCGACGTTGAAATACTTTTACAGGCGATCAAGTATCTTTTTTACAGACCAGATTGACTCGAAGGTATCGGATAAAAGCCGGTGTACCGACTTTGATTTTATTGGACGGCTCTAACGGCTCGGTGGTAACCAGAGGAGGTGTAGAGCGAACTATCGGCGATCCTAGCGGAGCTGAATTTCCTTGGAAACCTCCTCATCCTAAGGCTTCTCTCGAGGATGGACCCTTATTGCCATGTGGAGCTCGCGAGAGTAACGAACCTATGCTGCACGAAGAATTACGTCACTGCTTCAAGGGTGTTTACTTCAGCGCACACTGGGTACACATCACTTTATAATAAATTATAGAAATTATCACAGCCGACTAGTGCATAATTCGAAATGAACTGAGTTCATGTAAAAAATTAAATCAAAAATACACATATTAAAACGTAACATATACATATATCTTTATATTTCTATTAGTGTCCACCTTGTAAAGCTTTTACCCCACAACTTGTGGATACCTATCAGCGAATTCGGGAGAGAGGTCATGATTTTGAGGTGATTTTTGTAAGTTCAGATAGGTAAGTTGTTGAAGAAATTACCTTATTTGTTCATCTTGAATGAATAATAAAACATATTTTTCTAGTAAGTAATTGTATGCATGAATATTAATTGAAATTTAATTTTTCTACTGTTAGGAGCGAAGAGTCTTATAACGTTTATATTGAAACGATGCCTTGGTTAAGGATACCTTTTAGTCAGGAAGATAGACGACGAAAATTAGCAAGGGCTCTCGACGTACAAGCAATACCCACTTTAGTAATACTCGATCCTCGAGATAACATTATAACTTTGGATGGTCGAGCGGAATTAATCGAGGACCCTGAAGGATTGGTAAATGAAAATTTTTTCTGTCTATGTGTACTACGTGGGGTGTGTGTTTCTATATTATTTCTGATACTGTTTTTATATTTTCAATTTTTCAGAATTTTCCATGGACTAGTCGTTTGGTAAATATTTTAACTGAAAAATATGCTACTTCATTGCACGATGCACCAGCAATTATTCTCTTTGTTGGTAAGTTCATTTTGTAAATTTTAACCAAATTTTTTGAACATGTGATATTCTCCTTTTTTTTACTATCTTATATCTGTATATAATATTTTTAACTATTTCTTTTACGTTGATAATATATTTTAACAGAAGGTGAAGACTGTGAGATTCAATTCGCAGAAAGTGTATTATTACCAGCTGCACAGGCATACGGAAAAGATAGACCTGATTATGATCCAAATTACGATGATCCAGATGATATTTTGCAGTTTTATATAGCATTAGATGTAAGGATTAATTTCATGTATTAATTTCATGATTAATAATTTAATGCATATTCAATTATTTTTATTGTAGTGTGAAACATCCGATATTCTTCGCGAATTTGTCGGTTTAGACGATGCTGTGCCTCTTCTAACAGCAATTGATATACCTCGAGGAGTTTACGTGGTGATGGAGGATGGTGCCGAAATAACTGTAGATTCTGTACAACAGTTTGTCGACGGATTTCGCAATGACAAATTACCTATAAACAAAATAGCCGCTGTACACAAAACAACTAAAAATGATCACATTTCTACTTGAATTTTTAAAAATCCATCTTTATTAAATTAAATTACTAAAAATCATACGAAGGAAGGAGCAGTTAGATTTTTAAGTGATCATTATACAACCACAAAATAAAGAAACCCCATCCGCTCTTCTCAATCCTATCTCTGTGATACCATTGCTCCTTTCGTAGGATCTCTCGCGCTAAATAGCGTTTGTATTCACACATCCCCTTGTGGAAGTAACCAAAAGATATGTATTATATATTATAGTCAATAAAAATTGAGCAAATTGTATTTTTAGGTATACACATGCACACGTTAATATATTACATAATGTATTACTTAATAAACGCCAAATAAACACGTCGATTGTATTTTCAGTTACTAACAAGTGCTTATTAGTTCTGTTCGCCATACAGACAGTAATCGTTGACTTCGTCAAATTTTATCTTAAATTCAAATAATTTTAAGAACTAATAAATAAATCAGTATAAAAAATTGAATAAATACATATCATTCACGGTATAGACTTGTACCGTTTTTTAACTCTCCATTACACGTGTACTTAACGCATTGCAGCGTAACACGTCTGCGGAACCACACTCCGCTAAGTTTGACTGTTTCTTTCTCTATTTATTTTTCTTCTCTGTTTAATGTTTTCTTTTATTTTGTAGTAACAAATTTAATTTACTACTTTATTTATCATTTAATGTTTTTAAGCATATATTGAAGCTACAGCAGGTCCTGACGCCAGATACTGTTTTTCTAATTTGTACGGACAAAACAATCTTGCGGATTCACAGTCTGCGACACGTATAATGGAAGGTTAAACTATAATTCATTTTCTGAACATAATTTTGTTTTTTATTCATTTAATTTTACCATCAAGAAAAAATATCAATGAATCACTTCATATACGAATGGAAATATACATAACGTTAATTTTGTTTTGTACACATATCTACAATTTCATTAAAACTACATCTGTCATTAGTTATAAAACAAATATTACTAATACACACTCGTCAGTCATATGTTGTAAAAAATATATCACACTTAATTTAACACGTTCTCTGCCAGACTGACTTTCGGTGACTTTCCGGTCACACCACGTGGGTTGTATTGCGCCCCACGTTGTCGAGACTAATAAATTTTATGACATGTCTTATAATATTTATAAGACTGCAAAAATCATTATTATCAAGAAAAAGGTATAATGTTTAATATGCACTACATAATAAAGCAAAAACTTTTATTTTAACAAATTATCGTCTTAGTTTAAGTAAAAGAAAGGAAAGTATCTAATTAAATTTAAATAAAACTTTTAGTTTCCAATATTGTTAATATTACTGTTCCTGCTATCCATTTTTTGTCCTTCAGCTAAAATATTTATGAGTATAAAAGCATATTGCAATGTAAAAAGAAACGAAAGGTAAAGTATTGAGAGTTGGTGACGAACTGGCAACCGGGTTGGTTGGTGTAATATGGTGGAATCAATTAATAAATATCTTTTATCCTAAAGATTTCCTTTGCGACAATAGGATGCATAACAGAATGACCAAGCCTTGACATATGAAGTTTGAAATAAAATAAAACCGAAAAACTGATTGCTGTGTACCGTGCTCTTCTTTTATGTATAAGACGTCACAGTCCTTTTTCAATCCAATGTTGATATTGAATGGAAAGGTGTAGAGAGTATATTTGATTATGAATCGAGAATATCGAATTGTTCTACGTGTGCTGTGTTTTATTGTGGTGCATGGTTTCGACTTGAGTTAGAATTTTGGATTGCTTTCTTTACAAATAGTGTGTCGTTTAAATACAATTTCCCAGAGTTAGAAAGTCACAAGAATGGCCAATCAAAGCTCGTTATTTGGTTTAGCGAAAAAAGGTTATTTTTCCTTGTCTATTGCAACTATGAGCCGGCGTCGCAGGTCAACGAATCGAGTTGGTAGTCGCGTCATAAGTTCATACCTTAGCGCCGACACTGATCGCTATACCCCGCGTGGGGCGTTAGCGACCCACGTGACAGGAAACGTGTTAATTACATTGTCAAATTTTTTAAAAAACATTTCTATCGTTATTTGTACTATTTTCTAAGAAATAAATATTAGATTGAAAATTCGCATTTTTGTACGTCAAATGAATTGTTAAAATTTTACACTAAGAGAGCTGCCAAAGCATCTAAAAATTTTGGTCTTTCCTCAATTTTCAGTCTTATTACTGAAACAAAGAACAAAGATTTCAAAACCAGACATTTAAAAATTAAAAAGGTAAGACAATCATAAAGAATTCTTACTTGTAGTGTCAAAGTAATCTGCTTCTGTGTAAGAATTTGTATTTTTGGCCACTTGTTCAAAGGCTCTTCCAAATAAACTATAATAAATAAATATTATAAAAATATTATAACAATAAAAATAAAGTTAATTTCAACTTATTCATAATTACCTTCTTGGTTGGTCTTCACATACCGGTGGTATACCAACCATAAGACACGTACCCTTTTCTGCATTATCTATTGAAGAAGCTACAAGTGGCCATTCTGGAGCACGTCTACTTTTTGAAGAATCTACATAAGCTTTTAGGGTAAACTGAGCTAACATCATTAACGGATATGGATGCGCGAATACGTGATTATCAGCACTTCCTTCTGGAATAATTATGTAAAGAAACGAACCAGCACTTCTGATTTGTTTCATTTGTAAAATGCCCTGTGCAGTTTTAAAAATACTACTAAACATAAGTTTTGCTTTTTCTATGCCACTTTCTAATATATCTTTCTTTGTACGTGATAAACAGTCCAATGCATCTAAAAAACAACATTGTGGTAACTTTTCCGTCGACTGAAAAATTAAAAAATTCAATATACTGAAATACCTGTAAAATTCAAAATACAACAAAAATTGAAGCATTAGTGACTTACAGAAGATTCCATTAAAGCAAGCATAGCATAAACTATATCTGACGCACAGTACTTAAACCTGTAACCATATTGAAGACTAAAACTTGTTCCAATCACAGTGTCTACTTTATATTTTCCTGCCAATTTTTCAACCATTTGTCTAAATTCTTGTCTAAGCGTCAGGTCCATTGCTGAAAATCGTTGCTTCGATTGTGCTAAAGGTAAACCCATTTCTGCTAATAATTCCTTCAAGCGTTGTTCTCCTCTAACTGACCAAAGTCGTAATGATACTGCAGTTGGTACAGAATGCCTCAGACTAGCTTCTACAGTCCAATGTCGATATAAAACAAGTAAAAGACTACGTTTCCATGTAAGAAAATGAAGTTGAAGTTTTATTACGCATAAATTTCATTAAGAAAAAATATTTTATTTCAAAGGATACTCTTTATCATAAGTAATTTTTACTGTACTTTGTTGCTGTTGCTCTTGCTTATCAACATCACCCCCTTGTTTATGAGTTAGTCTAGACACATGAGCTTGAAGAGAGCCTTCCTCCAGAACACTCAATCTTGACTCTACTTTACCTAGAATAGATTGTTCTGTAGAACCAACTATAGCCCACCAGACCATATCCAGATTATCTTTTGACATAGACCATGCCATTTCAAATATAAGCATTGCACTCTATAGAAGTAACAAGTATAATTAAATTTATAATATATAATGTATTTAATAATTTATTAAATTATTTTAATGATTCATACTGATTTGCCATAATAACTATACTGCATATAATTGAACAAAATAGTTGCTCTGTTTTCGGACCACTTTCTTCGTTCAGCTCTTTTAATGATATCTTCTTCATTTAATCTTCGTTTTTTTCTTTGAAATTCATCACTTGTTAATTCTTCATCTGTTTCATCTTCACCTGACTAGCAATTGAAAAATATATTTCTTTCAACTTGTTCATTTAATTATGTAGCCATAATAAATAGAAGTGAGAAATATAGTTATTTACTGAATCATCTCTGAAGACATCATTATAATCTGGAATTTCATCATCTTCATCAATTTTACCAAGTATGCGCACTTGATCTTCAGAATATATATTACATAAATCATAAGGCCTATGGCTATCAAGAATATAAAATATCACAGATTCTGTAGGTTGTAATAATTCTACTAAGTCTAATATACCACCACAATTTATAAAAATAACATTTTTTATCTAAAAAAAAAAGTAAATATTAATAGTGCAATTTGTTATAGAGAAACATGCGTAAATGTGTGTGTTTTTGTATTTTTATTACCTCTTCGCAATTATCTTCAAAGGCACGAACCATATCTTGAATTCCCTGGACTGGCACAAGTGTATATATCATGTTATCATTTTTGAAAAGTTGTTGTAAAATTCTACAGGCACAAATTGCATCAACATCAAAGTTAACCAATAATAAACATCTCTATAAAAAAAATCTATGTTAATGCTTCCAATTAAATTAAATAATTTGTATAATTTATTTATGGTTCCAGTAAATGTAATAATATTATCAATAATAAATGTAAAGTAACATATATGAAATAGTTTAATATGATGACTTATTTACCATGTTAGTCAATGAATATGAATGAACAATATTTCAAAAGTAAGTTAAATGAGTGATATATTTAAAGATACATGTGTAAATTTAAAAGAACTTGTTTAACCTAAATAAAAGCAAAACTAATAAAGTTTTAAAACACAAGACGATAAAAATATAACAAACTCACGTCATCTCTTATTAAACGGTAAAAACCTCTTTCTAAGTTTTCCACAAACATCATGCAGTGATTCTCGACATGGGAATATTTTTTATGTTTACTGTTCTTTTTCCCATCCGTTTCACTTATCCCCAGTTTACTCTGATAACTACATATGGACAACCCACAACAGTAGCTATTCGCAATATGAAATGCAAAAGTGCATCGTCAATAAAGTCAATATTTATATTTAAATGCAATGAATATTTATCATACAAACTTATAGTCAATCAATCCAACTAAGTAATTAATTCCACTAAAATTATTGTGTAAATCTTGAAAGCCGACAGCCAAATCATTCATGACCCATACTACATACTTATATACGAGCATCGAAATTAGTCTAGAACGCATACATATATATGAAACCTTTATTTCAATTCTTCTTTTATTATTCTTGTTATCACCATCATCATCATTAGCATTATTTTTATTGTTATTATAAAAGGAGTAAAGGTAGGAAATAAGAAAATATTTCACTAAATTTATTTATTGTCATACATTTCAAACCGAAAAACTTTTACATTCGTTTATAAGAATTTGTAAAAGAGCCGCTTTCTTCAAAACATCCTGACGTATTAAACAAATTTATTACCAATTCGGTTTTAAGAGTAAGACGATCGCGAAGTTATCATTAAATAG